GTCGGTGACTCGGGCCACTCTCACCCATAAAATCAAAGGACGAACCCTAACAGGCAGGAGTCTAAAACTCACTTAGGATTGAGATCGAGTTACCTAGTCATCCTATTGAAATATTAATCTATTAGTTAACGATGTTACAGCTAATTAAGATTAATTATTTCGCACTCCTATCTTATACAAACTCATTGTATAGGATACCCCCACTCACATGTCTCCACACGCACGACCTGGATCAAGTCATTTGTAACTATTACAAAGTGAGTCGTATCCATAGTATTACCAGGATAAGGTACCTACTATAGACCCTTTAAGTTATTACTGGGACATTATCCACTTGTATATCGAGAGTATATCAATTATATACCCGATATATATACTGTCCCGACTACATGAAATAACCTTGATGTTAGTTTATTGGATTTGAATTAACGCTCGTCTAAAATAAACATCAATAACAATTTTATTGAAATAAATAATTTGTAATTATATTTACAAACCATGAGTTTAGGGCATAAACCCCAACAGATAGATGGTCAATTCGCTTGCATGTATTTATAGATGAAGATCATAAAACCTACCAAGAAGCTTAAATGCTTTAGATTCTAGCCTATGAAAAGAAGCTATTAAAAATGAGCTAGATTCCATAGTTATGAATCAAACTTGGGAATTGATAGATTTACCTATAGGAAATAAACCTATTAGTTGTAAATGGATCTTTAAAAGAAAAATGAGACCAGATGACACAATAGAAAAATACAAAGCTAGACTAGTGGTTGTAGGTCACACACAAAATTATGGCATTGATTAATTTGGTACGTACTCTCCTGTAACCAAGATTGCTACAATTAGAATTTTTATGGCTTTGGCTGCTATTTGAGGCTTAGTAATTGATAACTCTCCAAATGAGTGTTATTTGTGCAAGAATTTCATATAAATTAGCTAAGGATAGCATAACACTAACACCCAATCTATATTGATTTTGTGTAAAGAATGTTACAAATTCACCATCCTCCTTATTTTTTATGATAATGCTGAGAGTTATGAAGAATGATCTAATTTTGAATGTTTTGCTGCAACATTGTTGATACTGCAACATCGGAGTCAAAAAGGCATAAAAAGACAAAGTTGACAGTGATAGCTTTTACCCGAGAAGTTACTGCAGTGAAACGAAAAAATACCTGATATTCTAAGTTGGGGCCCACTTTACCATTTGTGTTGACTTAAAATCAAGAGGGGTATAAAAGCTTGCATTTGAGAGGTGCCTCCAAGATTCCCCATCCCATCACTTTACTCTCACTTCAAGAAAACTCCCAAGAAACCGTTGAAGAAGACAACAAAGAGAGAATGACTACTGCTCTTCTTCATTTTCTTCTTCTTTTGCACTCTTTAGTGTACGAGTTTTTTATTTTCTTCTTCCCTTTTCTTGTATGACATTGAGTAGCTAAGTTTATTTGTAAAGGGGAGGATGTTGTGAACTTGTTCTTGGGTTATAAACTTTGCTTTGGCTTTAATGCTGATATATACACTGAGTTGAAGTTGTCTTTAACGTTTTATTTTCATTGTGCTTGGCCAACATATCTTCTTATTAACTCTTGGAAAATTGTAATAGGAAGTGTTTGGCTTCAACTCGTGCTAGATCTACTTGAGTTTAGAGTGTGGGTACTTAAGAAAAAAGCTCACCTAGCAAGGTTATAAACTGAGTATATATGCTACCAAGTTTGTCTAAAAACATGAATAGCAGAAAGAAATCTAGGAAGATTCCGTGTCGGTTTGGTCAGTTTATCAACATCGTTAATGCTGCAGCATCTTTAGAGTAGCCCAGAAAAAGTGACATAAACTCTTTCCCCTTACCCTTTTACATATTAGTAGTTAACCTCTTGTTTGCATATTTTTCTTTAATCGATTTAGTTTTGCTTATTTCTGCCTTGTTCTGGAGTCCTCACGACATATAGGACTCAAGCCATGATGCTCACTCACTGGAATGAATCCATAGCTCTTCTTTTGGGTGGTCAATGTATGGACTTGATGGATTTAGTGAAGCATATGTGAATCCAAAGCTATTCTTTGGCTGGTCCATTAAAGGACTTAATGAATACGGTGAAACACTGTGTGAATCCATTAAGTGCGCATTGTTAAAACAGAATATATCTTGAGATTAAAATAATATTTGGACTTATTTTATATAAAAGTACAAAAAATTGAGACTTAAATACAATATATTTTCTTAGTTAAAAAAAATATGGGTATGTGAATATTTGAATTCATAATCTTTTAGTTGGGTATATATATCTTAAATGCAAAATATATATACACACGTTACACAGACGTAGCCATAAAGTAGTTTTGGCATAAATTTTGATTTTGGTATTAATGATATCAAAGTTTCATTTAATTGCATTTACATTCAACTCGATGTCAAAATTAAATTGGTATTATTCAAAGCCGAGAAGTTTATTTATTTATTTAAACAAGATTAAACGTTGAGTCAATATTTAATACGTGCATTAGTTTATCTTAAATTAGAAGTTTGTTACATGTGACATAAGATCATTTATTTAATTCGGTTAAAAAAAATCATTCATTTAATTTAAATTTTATATTAATGCTATATATCACTTCCTTTAATTACATTTACACCTTAAACGGTTCTCATTTGATGAAATCTACATAACAATAAAATTCTCTCTTAGACTTCAAATCGAGCGTTTTGCTTGCAGATCATATTTGTATAGTTTGAAGTGAAGAAAACGAGCATATATTTGATCTCAGGTAGGTTTGTTTATCTCAAACTAACAGCTCTATTAACTCCTACAAATTATTATAAATCCATATTATATAAACTTACAAACTTATGAAATCTATCTTTTATATGGTAGTTTTTATAAATCATAAACTCACGAAACAAAGTCATAATTAGAACAATTGAACCATTTAATAAAAATATATTTTACTGAATCAATGGATTAACATGTTATTTTTACGTAGCAATGAGTTCGATAGTTTTCTATTTGACAAATTATATTAGTTGACTATATCACAATTTAAGTTAGAGTAAACTAAAACAAAATGGATGGATTTGTGATGAAATTAAAACTTTCAAATTTATAGAACTAAATTAAGACTATTCCTAAGTCATAAAAATCAAATTTATAATTTCACCAATACTAAAATATAAAAATGGGCGCCCCATGTTATCTTGGGCCACGCATAATAAAAGTTCAATTTATTAATGGTTTGCCCATTTTAACATTTTAGTAAGAAATCTTACATCTTAAACATTGACTTTCTTTTTTGTTTTTTGTTTTGTTATTTTAAGCGTTTGTAATTATTATTGTACAGAAGTAGATGTGCCTTAAAAGTTTGTTACAAAAAGATTTTAAAAAACTTTCCAAGAAGTTTAGATAGAATATTGTAATCTAATAGTTATTCATGGTTCCATTTCAAAAGGAGATGACAACAGGGTGGGACGGGATCAGGGAAGGTATCCCATCCTCATCTCGTTGGGGATTCTTATCCCATTCCCGTCCCCGAAAATTTTGGGATGGGGATGGGGCAGCGAATCCCTGGTAGGGGATGTGGTCCCCGCGGGAAACGCATCCCCGACATAACTTTATTTTTTTTAATTTTTTAATTATTATTTTTTAAAAGATTTATTAATATTTTAATGGGCTTGAGGCATTGGGTATCTTTTTAAACAACCAATTATAAAAGTGGTATAAAAATTAATATATATTATTATTATTAATTTATTATATATAAAACTATAAATACTAATAAAATATTAAACGGGTTGGGATCGGGGACGGGTCAGAGGATCTCCCCTCGTCCCCGTCGGGGAACCCGATTTGATCCCGTCCCCGGTCAAATCGGGGAATCCCCGACCCGATYGGGTCGGATATTTTTGTCATCGCTAAGTCCACTTATATTGTAAATCCTTATTAGGTCCCTTATGTTTTCAGTATAGAATGCTTAACAAACGATAATTTAAACATAGTTCAACTAATTAAAACATATATTCTCGATCAAAAAATTTGAAGTTAAAGTTTCCATTAAATAAATTGTTGAACTAAAAAAGGAAAAAAAAAACTATCACAACCTAACATGGATTCAAAAACAAAAACAACCCAAAAGAAAAATAAGTTTTTACAATCAAGCTTAGTTGATATAGATATAGATGGGTTTGTGTTATAACTTAAACATGAAAATTTTACGGAAGTTGGTATTATAATAGGTTCGATGGATTGTGTAGAAAAGATGAGTTTTGTTTTTTCGTTTTTCTCTCCTCTTCGAGTACAACAAGTAGGGGCGAAGATCTCTTGGTCGAAGACATGTACCAACTAATGTCACATGTGGGGATGGGGATCGAACTCGCAACCTTTTAGTTTGAGATATATGTTAATTACCGCTGACCTATGCTCACTTTGGTAAAGATGAGCTTTTTGATCTAACATTTCACTCTCTTATATTATTACCCGCAATCGAGACCAATTACAAACACACTATAGTATACCATTAATAACAAAATTTTAAGATGTTACAATAGAAAACTTCAAATTACGTGTTACTTACACAAAATACACCACAAGGAACTACCCTTTACAAATTATACCTAGTTAATAAAAAGTAGCCACTAAAAATTTGTTCTTTTTGTCTATCCTATTGAATTTTGATTTACTTTATTTCGTTTACGTTTTCTCCTTTTACATTCATACATGTTTTTCACTTCGATTCAGCTTCTAAGACATCAATTACACTTCAAACAAATTTGAATAGAAAAAATGGAGTAACAGAGAACAACTATTTGTTAGAACAAGTAGCTAAACAACCTTCAACCTTACACTGTCGAATTAATGGATTTTCTCCTTCGAGTTGGACCCATTGTAGCCTCTGAATCCCAGAAGGAGATGGAGTTACCTCATGAACATTAGGGTCTTAAAAGTCATTTAGAATGGAGCTCGGGAAATTATGCGTTAAAGGCAAGGGCAAGATTTTAGCGTGCGTTTTCCTTTTTCCATTTCTCCCCCAACTACTAGAGACTATATAAATGAAATATCAAATCTTTGGTAGCGGAAGGCAATGCATGTCTGATTCTTCTGCTGGACCTGCCATTGAGCGTGAGTTCTTTTTGTGTTTTTAGTCATCAATTGCCTAACATTGGAGTCTCCGCTATTTGGGTTTTGGAGTAATCGCCCTCTCTCTCTCTCCCCCTTTTTCTCTTCCTCTCTCTCTCTCTCTCCCCCTCGGACCTTCCAAAGATTCTGCAGAATAAGCTTTGAAAATCGTCATTTCGATCTTTTCCCTCTCATGGGTTCTGAATGTTTTCTTTGTCGCCTTTTTCTCCATTCATATGTAGATTGAAGTTTTTTTCAATTTCTCTGAGCTGTATTTGACCCCAAGTCTCTCTCTCTCTGTTTCTATCCTCGGAGTGTTTAGTAAAATGGCCAATACATCTGGGTTTTTTGCAACATCAGTCCCGAGCCTGAGGACGAGGAATTGGCCATTAACGAGCAGTTATCGATCTGGGTTTAGATCATCCGATGGAATATCTAAGGTAATATTCTGCTCCAGTACCCTTGGCGCAGACAAGCTTTCTTCTGGAGCTTCTCCTTCTGAATCTCGGGTGTCCAGGTAAATTTCTACGCCTCCATATTCTTCTTCAATCTTTCAGTGGTTTAATTGTTTTCTTGTTTCGGATTCAAACGGGTTTTGGCATCGACACGATTAACTGTTCCTGTAGAGGGGGTTGGGATTGCTTGCATTGTCTAGGAATTGTTAGTGAAGCTTAATTTGGGTCTCTTAACAGCCATTTTGGTGAATCATTATTTACCTTACAATTAGCAGAAACTCGAGCTGATGAGTTGTTTGCACTTCACGGCTATAGAACTGTGACCTAGTTGCTGTGGTATATTGGATTCTATGTTGCGATTGATAGAGAGTGTAATTGCTCTAAGGACATTTTACAATTCCTAGGTTGCAGAAACCCCAGGATACTTTGGAGACAAAACTTATAATCGTTTTGAATTTTATAGGATAGTTTGCAGATATTATCTTGTATATCTAGATTTCTGAAAGGACTCCCAAGTTTGTGTTTTAGCTTTCTGAAAGAACAATTTGAAGTTTAACGAGTTTGGATGTCAATGGTGCTGGTGCCATAATTTTTTTTCTCTCTATTATCTTCTTTCCCAATTTAACTTGGGGGTAAAATTAGAAGGGTAAGATCTGGCCTTATGATAAAATGTAACATTCATAAAAGGTTGCAATGGCGTCATTTGATATTTTGTATGTTTAAGTGGAATGAGACTTTCAGTTAGAAGATATCACTCTAGATGATCTTATGCTGATTCAGACAGTCTCACTAAAAGGGGAAACATGTACTTTTACAGGCTCGTCAGCAGAGGCTGCAAGTTAGTCGGGTGTGGCTCAGCTGTACCAAGTCTTCAGATTTCTAATGATGATCTTGCAAAATTGGTTGATACAAGCGATGAATGGATATCTGTTCGCACTGGTATACGTAACCGACGGGTGATTGCAGGTGTGTGCTATCTAATGAAGCAAACCAACAGGAGTCTTCAACCAAATGAACTGCCAACATTTGCATGACTCTGTTCACTTGTTTAGCCTCTAGTTACCATTCTTGAATCTTGGGATTGATCCTTGACTTTGGCTTAATTATCCTCAAATTTGCTATATGGAGCTTACTAATAACTAGCCAATTATTTTCCCTTCACTATTTGGTTTCCTTGTACGATATGGTTCATCATTGAATGTTTAGGCATATAGATTGCTTTCATAGAATACAACAAACCCTCTCTAGTCTCGACTTTCAGGGAGTACGAGTACCGATGTGTAACGGGGATTCTTCTTTATGGTGGTCATAATTTACTAAGTAGCCTTTCGTGAGTTTCTTTGAGTAAACAGAATGTCAACTGCACAAGTTCATGGCTTTCTAGTGTCAAGGTTCGTAGCTTTTCATGTTCATGGGATGGTGGTCTTAAGATTTTAAGCTTTCCTCTTTCAATTCACAGGCAAAGATAGTGGCCTGACAGCTTTGGCAGCAGAGGCAGCAAGGGGAGCTCTTCAAATGGCTCAGGTTGATCCTGATGATGTAGACTTGGTATTAATGTGCACTTCAACACCAGAGGATCTTTTTGGTAATGCTCCACAGGTAGGATCATTTATCTCAAGATTGAACTAATAATAGATATGAAATGGAAGAGATGGAGTATATTCATAACAGAGCTACAAGGGATACTTGGTTTGCCAGATGCGTGAACGTTTATGTGGGAATATGGAGATATGAGATATCTGGGCCCGGGGGAATTGCCCGTGGTCATTCTAGTTTGAATAGCTATTGAGCAACTATTGAAGAAGATTTTAAATGTTGCATGGTCCTTGTGTAATGTTTTCGCCTTGAAAGTTATGGAGCGTTCTTCCCCTGCCAATATCCACAAAACTAACTTGGGTGGTGAAATTTGTTGTGGATTTTTCATGGATTCCTCTTGTGCTTTACTTATTCATTTTTATTATAAGTTGAAATGAGAATGGAATACCTGACTTAAACTTGAACTTCAGTACTGAATTTATGCAAACTTCAACATTATTTTTCTAATTATGTTTTACTGTATCCCAGATCCAAAAGGCACTTGGTTGCAAGAGAAATCCCCTGTCTTATGATATAACAGCTGCATGTAGTGGATTTCTACTGGGTTTAGTGTCAGCTGCTTGTCACATAAGGGGTAAAGAGCCCGATTTCGTCATGTTGCTTAGATCTGTTTGTTTTCCTTAGTTTCCAAAACAACAAGCTACCTGGCAACTGCAGGAGGTGGGTTTTCTAATGTTCTTGTCATCGGTGCTGATGCTCTTTCTCGATACGTCGACTGGACTGATAGAGGAACCTGTATTCTTTTCGGAGATGCTGCGGGTGCTGTACTAATGCAGGTAAAAGTTCTATTACAGACTACGGTGTACAACAGTGAGTTTTTGTGATTAAGTTTGTGGTACATGTTATATGTTGAATCTAATTTTATTTTGTTTCAGGCATGTGATAGCGAGGATGACGGTTTATTTGGTTTTGACTTGCATAGTGATGGGGATGGCCAAAGGTATGTTTTTCTGATATTCTTCCTCGTGCCGTTTTATCATTTCGTGAGCACTATGATCGAAAGCGTAAATATGAAAACAGGCATTTAAATGCTTCCATCAAGGAAAAAGAAGTGGATCAAGAATTGGGTTCCAATGGCTCTGTGGTTGGTTTTCCTCCGAGAAACGTCTCATATTCTAACATTCATATGAACGGTAAGGAGGTGTTTCGATTTGCCGTCCGCTGTGTGCCACAGTCGATCGAGACTGCCCTTCAAAAAGCCGGTCTCAATTCATCAAACATAGATTGGTTGTTGTTACATCAGGTCAAAATAAACTTCATATCGTCTTTGTTGATAGAAAATAAAAAAGCAAAACCTTTGAAACTCTCATGCCCATTGCGACTTAAAAAAGTGTAAATATGCAGGCAAACCAAAGGATCATCGACGCAGTTGCTACTCGATTAGAGGTTCCATCAGAGCGCGTCATATCAAATCTGGCAAACTATGGTAACACGAGTGCAGCATCAATCCCATTGGCACTGGATGAAGCCGTTCGAAGCGGGAGGGTGAAGGCGGGGCATACGATTGCAACTTCGGGTTTTGGGGCGGGTCTAACCTGGGGGTCTGCAATCATTAGATGGGGTTGAAACCCCTGCTGCCACAAAGGAAGAAGAGAAGAGAGAGAGTAAAATGGTTATCATCCCAGATTTTGGGATGCTGCAGTGACAATAGAATGACAATCCAATCCCCCTCTCCCCCTATCCCCCTTGGCCTTCTACTTGTTTGCTTTGCTTTCTTCTTATATAGAGATT